AGAGGTGGGGGTGGGAAGGATGCGTGGGGGCGGGCAAGCTGCGCCCTCGGCTTCCCGCCTCCTCCTCGCTGCCTGGCTAGACCCCACCCGCTCGCAAGGCGAACTTGGAAGGTACGCGCGAGGCGACCCTGTGCCTTGCGCGCCCTACGCCTTGTCCACACCGCTCGTCCTCAGCGATCCCCCGAAGTAACCAGCCCCGGGATCCCACCTCTGCTGCCCCAGACTCAGCCTCAGGGGAGTGCGTTCTCACTGGAGGTGTCGCTGTCCTAGGGAGTCCAAGACAGACTGGGGTCTTAGCCTCTGCACGCCCGCTCCTGACCCTGACTAGGAAGAGGGGGCCAGCGCCAGGCCTCTTCCGGGCGCGTCTGGCCACCCTCGGAGACCCGCCGGCCCTGGTGGCCCGGGATGGGCATGGGGCCTGGTTTTCCTGCCAGGTCACATTGACTCGGAATCTAAACCTTCGTGTTAGCAGCTAGTTGAATCCGCTTCTGAATACAAAAAGCAAGCAAGAACTGGAGTTGAGTGGAGTGTGAGTGATCCCGTGAGACGAGGAAATCATCAAGCCAGCGGGCACACTCCCCGCTGTCCTCTCTGAGCCCAGCCCGCCCGCTTCCCGGGAAGGGCACTGGTGACAGCGGCTGCTCCTGAGGGCCAGGGCCAGTTCTGATGGGTACCTTCGGAGGACACCTGGGGGGAAGGGGAGGCGTGAGGGGAGCGCAAAGTGGAAAGTCTCCACTGCACATCCCGCCCACGGGGAATTCGTTTAAATTAACAAATTCCTTGTTTTTGGATGCAAATACTCCCGGTGGGAGGGGTTCAGTTACTAGTTAGTTGGCTCTAATAGGTTCCTTAGCTTGTCTTAGGCTGTCTAAGGTAACAGCTGGGGGAAGGGAGAAGAAAACTCCCCTCCCCAGGCACCAGGGCTGCAGCCGGGGGCCCCTCCTGCCCCGTGCATCTCCCCCCAGTTCTGACTCTGGGAAAGGTGCTCAGGGTGACCACAGCCCAGTTCCAACAGCTGCCACTTAGCCCTAGTTCTCCTCTAGGGGCCAAAATGGACGGGCCTGATCTCTTGCACTTAAGGCCTCAGAGTGCCCTGTGACAGCCGTCCGCTCTCCTTTTCCCAGCCACGCCCCTCGCTGCCTTGACTCAGTCCACAGGTCTCCAGACAGCCCTCTCTGGAGCTCTATGTTTTCATCTGCTCACTGGCCATCTGCGCCTGGGTGTCCCCTAAACACTTCACCAGTGCATTCTGTCTACTGAAAAATGATGTGGACTAGGTGTTTCGTCACCAAAAGGGATTTATTCGGGAAAGAGGAAGGGTTGCAATCCAGTGCATGTAGACGTGGTGAGCCAGTCTAGCCCAGGGCCAAGACGAGGGGGTATTTATAGAAGACAGAAGGAAGTTAGAGCCCTAGAGCTTTATTATAGACTTAGCATATATTCTTCCTGTAGGGTTCTTGCATGTAGGGTTCTTGTGGTTACGTAGAGTATGAGAACTTCCGTGAGCCCCTGCTCCCTCCATCGACCCTCCTGACTGATTATGTTTGCTTAAAGTTCCAGTCAGTCTTTATCAACTCACATCTCCCCACTGCCATCAGCGGCCAACCAGGAGAACAGGCAGAAGGTGAGAGCTGGTCCCCACTTTGCCTGTACCTCTCGTCACCCCACACATCACTGAGACCCCTGGACCCCCAAAGTCCTTTAAAGCAGTGACCCCCTCCTTGGCATTTGGGCCTCTCCCCACCCAGTTCATCCTCTCTCTGTCCCCTTTGTAAACTATGGGTCTGCTTCAGTCCCTCCCCTGCTTAAACACCCGAGCTGGAATGCCACCAACTGAGGGTGAAGGCGAGCCTCATGGTACTCTCCTGGGCTCTTCACCGAGCATCCCATTCTGTGCCAGCTTCCTCGGGCCACTGTCCTTGGCGATTCTCCTGAGGCTTTGGTCTCCCCAGGCACGTTTCCAGGCTCTGGGCTTTTGCAAGGGCTGCTCCCTCTGCTGGGACTCTGCTCCTCTGGGGGAGTCCCCGCCCTTGCAGGCCAGGGTGCACAGGGCATCCCCAGAGATGCTTCCCCTGTGTGCCCAGCACCATCTGTGGATGGGACCGTCCTTACACTGAGCCATGGGCTCCTCCAGAGTGGGCCCTCGCCTTTCACCAGGATCCAAGGAAGAGGGTAATCGCTAGGACCTGCAGCTTTGCATGGCTTCTCCACCCCTTGAATCGGAGGTAACATTGAGTGAAGCTGTTACTTTCACACTTTGCTGCACCAAGGGGAAAAGATTAATTTTTTAAAATCAGAAAATATTCCAGTGAACTTACATATATTAAGGTGAACATAATCAAACCTTCCCATTGAAAAATAAGCTAAAAATATCCTCTTAATTATAAAATCAGTTTAGAAAGTCGCTGAGTTCTGAAGGCATATAACCTTATGTTCTATTTTCTACCCTATTTAGTACTTATTAAGCAGGCTTATTCCTAAAATCTTCACTTAACTGACATTTTGCTCGCAACATACTTTATTCACAAAATAAAGTATAGATAAATATTTCAAATATACCTGATTAACACACGATAGATGTTCTATAAGTATTTGTTAAGGAATTAATGGTACGTTTTGAAAAAAATATTCGGCATTAAAAGAAAAAAGAATAAATCGACAGGCCAAAAGGGAATTACTTTCGCTGAGCTGCGTCACCAAACCAAAATTTAATAACTAACCTAACTGCAGTTTCAGCCTCTCCCCAGAGTGGAATTCGAAGCCAGTCAGTATGGATTTTCCTGGTCAGCCCTGGTGAGGGCATCTGCTTGATAAGACCCCCTTTATTCTCCTAAGGGAAGGTGTCCCTGGCCTGAAACAATCCAGTCTTTTAACTTCTTGGTCTCACTCTCTTTCTGTCTTTAAAAAGCCTTCCATTTGGTACAAGTCATCGGAGAGCCCTTCCAGTTGCTATGTGGAATGTTGCAGATTCGTGAATTGCTTAATAAAGCCAATTAGATCTTCCAATTTACTCAGCTGAATTATGTTCTTTAATATTATTTTACGTATTTTATCTAAAGATTGTTTATTTTTTCCTTTTGGTTATAAAAGGTAAATTTGGGGGGGGTGGGGAAAGTGGATTCTTATTTAGATAGCTACCTTAGTCTTCAGGAGTCCTCATTTCTGTTTATAAGATGTAATCTTATTCTGAGGGAGAACAGTTTATTTTTGTCACCCTCAAAGGACTTTTTCAGTTGCTTTGAAAACCAACAAACTTAAACCACATAGTCAGATCCAGCAGCAAATCCACAGAAGGCTACAGCCTCAAGGGATAAATGGAGCCCCAAAATCTAGGGAGAAAGTTAGGAAAAGGACAAGATAGAGCCTCTCTCCCTGAAGCTCCAAGAAACCCATATTTGATGGATGCAAAGATTTTTCCACAAGGAGACTTGTCAAAAGTAGATCGTTCTGCTGTATGGTTGGAAGTATTTTACTGAAGAGGTGGAGGTGGAGATCTTAGTTTTGATTATAAGGATAATTTGTAAATGTGGGATTGTAACATGTAATGGAAATAAGTTAAAAACATAGTCAGTTTAGCCCTGTGTAGTAAAGCATTAATCATACACAAAGAGAAGCCTGACCTTTGTCCTAGTCTCCTGGGAGGTGATCTCTAAGCCATCAGAATGCTACTCTGATAAGAGTGTCTTTGCTTACCTGGGGGCGTCGGGTCATGTAATAGCTCAACCTCCAGAGACATTGAAGACAGAGGGCGGCCACCTGGGTGGCCAGCCAGTTCTAGGTGATCGAGCTCCAACAAAAACTCTGGACACCAAGGCTCAGGTGTGTTTCCCTCCGTGGCAATATCATCACACACCGTTGCCGGGGAAATGTTAGCGCTGGCCATAGCACCGTGGGGACCGGACAACTGGAGGATCTGAGCAGAGCTTCTCTGGACTCTGTCCTGTGCGTCTCTTCCCTCGACTGATTGAAATGCGTGGGCTTTCACTGTAATAAACTGTTATCCATGAGTATATCTGCTCTCAGTGAGTCCTGAGTTCCAGCGGATTTCTGAACTGGAGGGTGGTCTTGGAGCCCCCTGAATTCTGCAGTGGGTGTCAAAAGTGAGGGTGGTCTTGGGGGCCGTCTCCTCACTCTGCAAGCCTCCAGTCTGATTTAGGGTACGGCAGCCCTCTCCAGCCTTGTTTTCCTTGATCACTTTTTCTCTCCCTCAGTCTGCCCTATGCACAGCTGCCGGTCAGTTTTCCTCAAACACATCTGATTCCGCACACCTGTTACCTTAACTGATTCCTCAGTACCTTGCTGGTAATTCATTGCTAATGAAGTTAACTTACAGCCCAGGCCTCGTGAAAGCCGGGTCACCCCCGAGAGCTCCCACGGGACTGCCCTGTGCTCCGTGAGTACTCCCTGTTGCATGGTTTCTCTTCCCAGTGGACTTGAGCTTTTGGGGGGCAGCTATGAAGATGGCATCTACCTCTGCATCCCCAGCATCCAGCATGTCCAGGAAGTAGCAGGAAGTCGATGGTGAATAGGGAAATACACAGAAGCTGGTAGGTGTTATGTGGACATGTCCTTGATTTCGGTCTTTCTCCTACGGTTATTGGGTGCAGCATTAGCATTGCCTCTGTGTTGCTTCTCGCCCTTATTTGGTCACTAAAGATGTTTCTTTAACTGACCTC